GTTGGAGCGGCCTCCTTGGCACAAGAGGAAACGCTCCTTCTCTTAATTAGGGTATTTTTCATTAGTTAACTACAGCGTAAAAGATTTAAACAAGACCAACGCAGAGCACTGCCCCTTTGCTGTATCTGCAACTGCTGGAAAGCCCGAGCAGCGACCCCTTCCTGCTCCCCCTTCCAGACCACGTGTCTCCTGGGGCACCAACGCGTCTTACCCAGCACAGTCAGGGTGGCGTTGGCCAGCACGGACCCCGCCGAGTTCTGCGCCGTGCAGCTGTAGACCCCCATGTCTTCTATCTTCACGTCCGTGATGAAGAAGACGTCGTCGTCAGGCATGACGTGCATGCGGCGCTCCCGGGCCGCGGGGAAGTCCGTGCCCCCGTCTTTCTGCCAGGCGATTTGTGGGGTGGGGTGTCCTTCAGCGGCACACTCCAGCCGTGCCGTTGTCCCCGTCCGGCTGGTGATGTCGTGGGGAGTTTTGATAAAGGAGGGCAACACTGATAGAGCAGAACAAGAAAAAGGGGTGAGCAATTCCGTGGGGAAAACACCACCTTCTGGGCAGTTCTAACTCTTTTCCTTCCTAGGCAGGAGATTAATGCGATAATTACCCATGAGCAAGGGGATGGCAAGCTGCTTTGGCAGGAAATCTCTGAACTGCTTCTACAGCACATACCTGTCTGCAGATTCCAAGACACCCCCCCGCCCCCCTCAGGATCATTAGAGCTGGGATCAAAGCTAATTTTCTTCTACAATTAACCTGGAAAGAAAACCTGTTACCTCTCCTGCAGAGAACTTTCAATCACTACAGTCCCTTTGCTTTGTATCCCTTTGTTTTTCTGTTCTCATTTGCCAAAGACTCCACTGGAACAGCCAAAGAGATGCAGCTAAAGCCACGAAGAACATGCTGAAGCGCTTGGCTGGGTGGCAGCCACCGCACGCCTGGCATGTGGCTCCTCGCACGGCATTTCTCAGCATCTGCCGAGATGCAAGCGGCTGGTGTGAAGAGGTTTAGAGCTCCTCACCATCAGGAACGGACAGTAACTGCCTGCCAAAAGCGGGTCCCAGAGAATTGTACCAGCTCGGGCTGAGGAAAGGAATGAGAAAGCAGCTTCCCACTCACCATTAACAGTGAGTCGGGCCTTGTTGGAGTAGGTGGAGCCGAAGTGGTTGGTGATGATGCACTGGTAACGCCCTTCGTGGGCGAAGGTGACGTGCCGGAGGTGCAGAATGGTGGTGTACTCCATCACCTCGCCATCCTTTGCCCGCACGTGAGCGAAGTTCTCGATCTCGGCATTATACAGCATCTCGTTGTCCTTCTTCCACGCAAACATCATGGGGGAGGAGCTGCTGCTGGCGGCCGAGCAAGTGAAACGGATGTCCTTCCCCAGGACAGCCACTGTCGTCTCGGGCTGGAGGATGATCTGCGGCTTGGGGAAATCGTCTAAGAGCAAACAGAGGCGTAGTTAGTTCTGGGCTAGGAGGGAAGACTGGAGCCAAGAGATACAACGAGAAACGAGTAGTGCAGAAGACAGGCATTGCACATCTGCTCTTCCACCCGCTGCTGTCTACACCAGGAAAGCAGCTTGCTCTTGCAAGGCGCTCCCCCATCGACACTGGCTCTGTAGCGCAGATGTGCCGCGCACAACTCCACCGAGTGGCTGGTCTGAGCCAGGTCTCTGGTTCCGTCTGAGACGGTCACTTACTGCCCTCAGACACCCCCAAGATGCCCAGCTCTCCTCACCGATGTAGCCGAACCTCAGGAAGATACTATGGTCTAAAGAAAACATCCTTCTTTGTACAACCCGTGCATGAAGAGCAATACTGAACTGCAAACTCCACCTCCATTAGCACGGAGCAGGAGGACACTTAGGGGGCTGGAAATGCCACCTCTAGGGACAAATGCTGACGAGCAAGGCGACTGCAGCACGTGCCGTCAAAGCCGAAGCAGCTGTATTTGCCTGTCACCCATCTGGGGTGGAAAGTTTTGCACACTCTCTCTCTCTGCCCTGAAGACTGTTGGTTTTAGCAAGGTTCCAAGCAGATTCATTTATTAGATTTCTACAAATGGTGTAATTTAATATTTGACTAAGGTTTAATTAAACAGCCAGGCCTCTGGAACCAGGAGTACTAGTGCCTGGAGGACTTGGCAGGCACCAGAGGAGCAAAGCTGTCTTCGCTTTGTGATGTTGCTGTGGGGATGGAGCCTTCATGATCTCTTCTTCCAGATGAACACAGCAAGCCTCCCAGACTCACTCAGACAAGAGGCCACCTAGGCAGAGCCCTACCACTCTGGGATCGAGAGGGACACGGGACAGCAGCTGGAACAAAGCTTTTGCTCAGTGTTCAACGCAAGTCATGGATTCAGCTTGGTTAAACCGTGTTTTCAAAAGCTCCTTTTTCCTTCATCAAACAGCCATGTGCAGCTCCACAGCACAGGGTCTGGTGAGCCAAACCAGGCCTTTAATTTTGCCCAAAAGCTGGATGCATGAGCAGCATCGCTTTGGCCTCCTCTGATCATTTACATTTCTCTTCTTTATGAGAGGTGGAAGAGGTTTGTGTGTGCTGGGTGTTAAAGCTGCTTTGCAACCACAGCTCAGGAGCAGAGTCAGCTGCAGTGTTTGGGTGGGAGAGCAGCAGTAGGTGCTGCTCAGAAGAAAAAATAACCGTAGGAGAAAAAAAAAAAAGGTGATTATAATGCAGCCATTAGCCATCAGTTGGTTTGTGTGTCATGCCTTACTGGGCCAAAAACCAGGAGCTGTGATGGAAAGATTCTCCTCTGCTTTTTTTTTTTAACCCTTTCTTATTTCCAAGAGGCAGAAAAGAGGAGTGAGGAACACAAAGCCACAGAAGCAGCTCAGAACACTACAGAACACAAAAAAATTATAGCTGCAGTCTTGGTAGTACCAAACCAAGAGGACTGGGGAAGCGTCTGCACAGCCCCATCTGGAACGGGAACAAGTATTAGTCCCGTTTGATTTAATGCTCAGGGAGCCCGTAAGGAATACGCTAGATGCAAGCAATGCACTGTGTGGTTTTGGTGGGAAATAAATTGTAGCCAATGACAAATTTTTAAAATGCAGGCTTGGGCTTCCTTTGATCCCATTGAATAACAAAACAAAACAGAAACCCTCTCGTAATAACATGCTAGTAGTCAAAGAAAATGTTTCCCAAGTGAGTCCTACCCTTCGTACAACCTCAAAACACACAGGCAAGACTTACCACACACAAAACTTTCTGGCAGGATGGCAAAAATGCTCTTGCTCTTCAGTGACTCAGGATGGGCGCAGGTGGCCACCACAAAGGACTGCAGCTCTTTCTCAACTAACCACTGGGGCAACCATTTCAGCTGGCAATCGCAGAGGAAGCTGTCGCTGTTGATGTGGCTGCAGGGAGACAAAACCAACACGAGCCTGCTGTGAGTCCTGCACAGAGAGAAGGCTGGAAAGCTCACGGCCCTTTCATGTTGGACACATCGCTCCCTCCTGCCCAGCACGGGTGGAAGGAAAAAAGAACCGCAGGGCTGTCCTCGAGGCACTAACGATGTTAAATACATAACACACTTAATCAGCATCTCATCTCCACATACAGCAACCCGCTCCTGTATTCCAGCGACACTCCCTAGCGCCTTGTATTTATGAACCAACTTCCAGTGATCCCCAGGAACAGAGGAGCAATGCCATCCCTGCCTTCAGTGAGAGAAGCTGAGGCAGATCAGCTCCAAAGGAGACGTGAAGCAGAGGCACAAGTCAACAGCACAGCCTGTCTGCTCCCATTTCTCCTATCTAATCACCACGCACTCACTCTCCTTCTCTGCCTCTGTGGTCTGAGCACCTTCGGTGGGGACTGAATTCCGGGCTTAATTACTGAATGGTGAGAGGATGCCAAGTTCCCACTGCAAGACCTTTAGTTCCCTCAGTGGCCAACACCAGGGGAGTAAGTGGAGAGACCCCACTTGCCTTCTGTAAGGTACATGTTCCCAGACCAGCATCACCAGTAAGAGGTGTAGCTGACATTGTGTTTACTGATTAACAGAAGCGGTGGAAGAGAAATGTCGAAGGACATTTGTGTAAACCCAATACAAACGGTGACTAGTTTGGAAAGCAGAACACAAAAAACATTTCTCAGCATCCTAATAGTAGCTGAGAACCTTCTGTAAAGCACAGAGCTGTGAAAAAGGGGCAAACAAAAGGGGAGCCTTGGGATTTTTTAAAAAAAATATTCTGGGCCAAATTGTGGCTCAGCATAGCTCTGAGGCCAGTGAAGAACTGCAAGTTTACACGGACAGGGAATTCAGACTTTGGTCTGGTTTGGTCCAAGATCCTAGCAAAACCCACTCTGATCCATCAAATCAAATGTGAGGATGCCTCAGAGACTGTCCCAGACAGAGCAGTCCTGTCCTGCAATACTGAAAGTTGTGCAAGAGCAGGACCTCAAGAGCACAGCAGAATCCCAACTCCAGCGCTGGGCTGTGAGAAGATGTGAATCTCCTCCCATTTTTCTACCTGATAACCTCAGGAAATCCTGTAAAGGGGAAAAGAAAGAAATGGCCCCGAGAGGGAGGGCATGGGGGAACACAGGGATCTGATTTCCCAACGTTGTCCACTTTACTGTCCTAGAAAGATGTGTAACCCCTAATACACGTGATGGTACAAACACTGCTGGCTGGCTGGGACAGGTCAGAGACACCTTCAGTTATACTGAAGACTTCAGTACAATGCATCCTGCATGTGTATGTCCCCCCGCTGAAAGCCACCTCCTCCATGGTATAAAGGTTCCTTCACTGTATCTGGGATCCCACAAGCTCTCCTCTAATAAGATCCATCTTTCACCTCAGTTTTGTTTCAAGAGCCAGTGCAAAAGATAAGGTGGTTAAACAAACAAGGGGCGTGCAACGTTTATCGTATTCATTCCCCAGTGACTGGTATTAAATGTCATTGCTAACAGCGACCATCTGATTCCCATTTCCAACGTCAGGAAGAAGAATCTGAACCTGCCCAAATACCAAGTAAGTGATTGCTTGTTCCACAGACATTGCACCACTCCAGAGTGTAGCAATGCACTGACAGTGGATTAAATATTTATGGAGAAGAAGAGAAAAGGAAACCAGGCAAGACTGGAAACAGTGTCTGATAACAGTGCAGAGCCCCAGCCTGGAGCACAAGCAGCAGCTCTGATAACACATCCGTATTTTTACACCAGAAGGCTGGATGACAAGTGGATCCAGTTCAAACGGCGCTTATCGCTGAAATGTCAGTACTGTACGTGAGCCCTAAACATAGGCACAGCAAAGGAGCAGATGGGCCACTGGGAATTAAATCAGTGGCAGCACGAGAAGGAGAGATGGCTAACAGGACCAGGGCTGGACTTCCTGAGCGGAGATGAATAATGGCACAGATGCAAACCTGCTGGAAGAACCTGTTCCGATGATCTAATTTCACTCACTATTAAATGCAGGATGTTCCCGTGACATCTACTCATGTGTAAAAATACCCGGCAGAAGAGGACGGGGGGGAGGAAGAAATAAATGAGCGGTAAGGCAGAGAACGCCCCACTGGAAACCACGTGCTACTTCTCACGTCCAGGGCAAGGAGGATTCCTGCCTCCTTAATGGCTTGTGCAGCCCAGTTACTTACAGCTGCCGCAGGCTCTTCATCTTAGCAAAAGCGTCTGCTTGAATGGAGCGGATGGCGTTGTCCCCAAGGTTCCTGCAGAACACAACCGAAGGCAACGTGAACAAGAGGGATGCTATGGCTGTGACAAAGTCTCTCCGTATTTGAGCAGTGACCCCAGTAGCAGGTGATTTGGTAGCTCCTTCTTAAGGCCATAGGCACTTGCAGCTCGTAGAAATGGCTTTCCACAGGACACTTTAATATTGAGTAAGTTATCGCCAAACAACGATCAACCAACAAAAATTACGGGAATAAATCACCAACTCATTCCACACCCCATCTTCTCACTACGCTTTCTCAGTCTCAGCTACCTCCACCATCCACAGCTCAGAAATTCTTCAGCCCCCTCGATAACCAAAGATAGTCAGGATTTTTTTATCCCAGGCTAGACCTTCAGCAAACATAAAGAAAGCAAATACTTGCACTAAACGGCATCTGAGAAGTTACTTGAAAGTGACTTTGAGAGGATACTATTGTGTTTGAAAAACACGGCCATGTTTCTAAAAGAAGGTACTTTTAAAAGCTTCCCTCGCTACTATCGCTAATTAAAAAACTCACTTGTCCTCTGAAAAAGGGCAGTGTCAGATTCAGGGCTTGAGTTTACTAAGTGAAGTGTAGGACAGACAAGCACTGCTTGCAGAGGAAAATCTCAGTACAGCATTATTAAGAGAACCTTTATCTGGGAACGTACCCCCCAGTCAGGCAGCCTTAACCCTTCAGTATGCTTCAACAGTCCAAACGTTTCATACAAGCAACGGCCAATAAAACATCCAGAGCAAAAATCACATATACTTTAACTCATCTTAATTCAGAAAGGAAGTTATTCATGAATCACGGCTGGAGTCATCAGCCTTGGGACACAGAAAAAAATTACACAGCGGCAGCCAAAATTTACTTCTTGCAAATCGCTCTGAGGCAGTTGTGCTGAATGGGGATGCTCGGTGCCTGCACTGCGAGCAGTCAGCTGCAACGGGTGTCACTGCCAGAGCCTAGATTTAGGAGGAAGTTGGGGCAAGGGAGGAGGAGAGAGGGCTGCATCTGAAATAGCATATTTTCATGGCCAACAGTCTGCAAAGAAGCAATGTGCAAGTCAAGGCGGTATTTATCCAAGAACAAATCAAAAAATTAAGAGCATGCAGATTTGCCATATGTTCTATAACTTTGTTCCTGGCACAAAAAAAGGCCAAAGTTGAGGCGGACTTATAATGAGAAGGAAGCAGGTGGCCCCCACAAATGGACTGGCTTCTCAGTTTACAAAGACGCTATTAAATTGCTAGCAGATCTCTCAAGCAGCTACTTTTGGCAGACCCCCCTTCCCAAACTCTGAGGCATGGTGGGTTACTCACAGGTGCTCCAGGGCCTCCAACCCTGAGAATGCTTTCTTGGCCACCGACTTGATCTTGTTTCCAAACAGAGTTCTGCAGTTTCCAAACATCCAGTGCCAGACAAACAGAAAGAAAACGGGGAGAAGGGGGCAGAAAAAGAACGAACACAATTAGGGTGGCTTTATCTGATATACGCGCTCAGTGTAAGTCCCGGGAAATCTGAACTGCATGGAGATTAAGAGGAGGTCTGAAGTACACTCACTTTCCCACTCCTGAAATTAAATCCTTTTATCTGTATTCGGATTTAATAGCGATGACAGCACAAAAGGGAATGCACCCTATCAAGTAAAAAGCCAGGTTTGCTCCAGTGCTTGGAAACCAGCTTGCTGAGTAACAGAAGGTCCCCTCTATTCTCTGCAGGCTGGCTGCGGACAGGATTAAGTGCAGTGACAGTTTAACAAGATATTGGTCTCTCCCTGCAACGCTTTTCATTTCTGACTTCTTCCCAGATAGTAAAAGAGTGGTAATTTATGCACTGCTGCTTGGCCTGAACGGATATCCACGCACAAGGGCTGAGGGCTGCCTCTTGGCTGCACGTTCATACAGCAGCTAACTGCAGTGACTGCCGACTTCCTTCCTTGGCTTATTATAAATACAACAGCAAAGTGAAACAACGCAATAAATAACAGCCGAGTGGTAATTTCAAGGGGCGAATGGAAGAAGAGCAAAGGTCATGTACAGAGCTGAGGAGCGTGCTTGCCCCTGCGAGCAGAGAGCCTTCCTCCAGACCGGCAAAACGGTGCGACGCCGCCGCAGCGAGAGGGGGACTATCAGCAGGCAGCGGCCAGCTGGAGCGATCACAGCCCAGCTGCTTTCTGCAGAGTAACAGTTCTCTATAAATATTGACCAGTGGTGATCGGTGAGGGGCAGGGTTCATACCAAGTGGATAGTCTCCTCACCTGTTTTAATAAAACATCAACCACTGCCATTAATTAGGAAAGGCTTTCCTTCGCCAGGTTCCCCCTGTCTAAGGTTTATCTTTCCAGGTGCATCTTGTATCACCACCTGCTTCACACGGTGTCCAGTGCAAGTCATCACTAACACCTCAGACAAAAACCCGGCACATCTGGTGCTGTGTTTGAGTTTTCCTTCAAAAAATTTTTCCTTCAATATAGGGTGCAACCCGTATCTGCACTCTAAAAGGCTCTAAAACTATGATGGTCCCACTGCTTGCTACTGGCTGGGGAAAGGAGGCTGGGGTACAGCATGGAGCACGTGAAGCCATTACATGAGCAAATACATTTGCAGGAGCTTGTTTGGGCTTTCCACAAAGCACCCTTGAAACGTCAGGACAATTGGGTGACTCAACACTGGCACCCAGAAAGCTCACTTTCTGTGTGGATGAAGCAGTGGGTGCCACAACTGGTAGAAAGGAAAATTTGGGCTCATCACACTGTTATGAGGACCGAGACTGTATCTCAATCTGTCCTTGCAGCCTGTTGTCTTTGGAGGCAATTTGGGTGCCTGCCACTGGGCAACACTATGACCATGAGTAGGTCAAAATCAAGCACCCTGACGGTGGTGCGGCTGGATGAGTCAGCACTAATTCTTGAGTAGACAGGACACGCTGGTTACTCCTAGCTCCGCACAAAAGGTCTGTGGCCCCAGAATCACAAATCTTACCATTCTAGAGCAAAACACAACCAAAAGCTTCGGTTTCAGGCAAAGCCACCTCCCGGCCTCCACAGCGAGACATACGCTTGGAGCCCTTTCTTACGGGCAGAGTTAACGTGGCACAAAACCACAGCTGAATTTTCAGAGCTGTGTCCCTTTCTGAATTACTCGATTTGAGGCAAGAATGAAGACAGCTATCGTCAGGCATGCTGGTGGCTGATTAAAGGCTCCAGGTAGCCGTGACCTGCTTTATCAACAGTATCATTCTAAGCATCTACAGTGAGCTTTGCTGAGCTCCTTGATACAGCACCAAACCCAGGGTATCAGAGGTCCTAATTACTGCACGACAGCGGGTGTGACTTTTTTGCTCTGGGTGAAATACCCCAAGCACCAAAGGATGCGTGCAGTCATGTGTACCATCATTTGGTAAAAGGGATGTTGTATTAATGAGGGCTTTGAAAAATCCATTAGAATGATTAATACAGTAAATAATTTACTATATGCAAACTCCGGTCATACGGCTGCACCCATACACGCTGATTTCTGGAGCCATATTCCTAAATGAGGGTGTTATGCTGAGCTTGGGTTGGATAACTGGAGACTTCTGGTTTTTGTTGACAGTGGATCTTGGACTTTGAAAATTGGAGATACCGATTGTATCTGTTTACTTATCTGTGAGGAGATAAGCAGAACGGCTGGGGATGTGAACGCACAACGTATGCACCACTTGTGTAGCTGCATACAGCTTCATGGCTACATACACGGGAAACACGTAACACACGGGTAATAAAGCAATGCCCCAGCAAACTCATTACAATATTACGCCTTTCGCATTTCCACTAACCGCTTCTCCAGTTCTGAAACGGTTTGAACCCAGCGGCCCCCTTCCCGGGGCTGTGGCACGCTGGAATGCAAGCGCAGCGGCCTGCAGCTCTGCAGCCAGCCTGCCTGCTGCCGCCCAGCAACGCTCCTCCGCTGCCGGCAGAGCCACTGATTCCCTCAGCGTAATTACACGCCAGGCACGCAATTCATCAGAAAGCAGCGTTTTCTCCTCCAGCCGGTTTTGCACCTGCAGGAAGATCTCAGCCACTGAGTGAGCCATCAAAAAACCGGTTACATTCAGCAGCTTGAATAATTAGGAAACTCCTTGTTCCCCAGCGATTCCACTGATGCTTTTTATGCTTCGGTGCTTCTCAACTCCCTCTTTCTTGAAGCAACATTTTAATTTAGGCCTGTGCTCTCCATCCTGGAGAGCTTCATCTATAATTCAGAGAAGGCTAAAGTGACTGGCCTCCCCACCTCTCAGTTTAACACCTTCATTTCAGCGAACAACCCTCTCTGTGCTAAATCCTTTCAGAGGCTAATCTGTGCCAGATCAAAGGGGAACGGCTTTTAAGGCAATCTCCACAGAGCTGAGGTGATTATTAATTCATTGGAAGGTCTCCTCTGAAGTGCCCATTTATTTTTTGTATGCTAATGCATTTAAAGCTGGGTGACAGTTTAAACACAGGCCCTAAATCACACAGTGAAATGTTTGCTGTAAAGGCTGATATTTTATTTACGAAAAAATCCTGCCAGCAAGAATAATACTCACTTCAGCCTTGGATAAAATTACAAGTCTGGGATTTACGTGCTGATGAGCTAAACCAGACCTGAGCAGATCCCTTTAAAAGTGACCACTCCCAAGTGTCCCCAAAACACCTCAGGAAACAGTATGAAATACTCTGAGGGGGTTTTTCTAGTCTTACGCTCTGGCTGACCATGAATGATCCCAGCAACCTGTCTGTCTCCCAGCACACTCCCTCTGTTAGGTAACCAAACCACTCTTGTTGCCCAAGACCAGCCTGATCCACATGCTCTTCCAAGCTATGAAATTTGCTGCGATCCCTGCCACAAACCACGGGCACAAGTCCTTCCCCGCCTTCAACCAGACTCAGAACTGGCCCAAATCCATGTGCAATTGAAGACAGAGGTCAACAACATGAAAAAAAGATGCAAACCCAGCTTCTTTAGACTTGCACAAGCTGCATCCTTTGCTACTGGCAGACAAAACTGGCCATCTTCTGAGGCCGCTCGTTGTGCCAGATGATAAACATCAGATCAGGCCATGGCTATTTCACAGCTCTGCCCAGAGCTCCAAACACACAACCCGCACAACCCCACAGGCTGCCTCTGCTCCCTTCCTTCCTCCTCCCGCTCCTTGCCATACCTCCTGGCCTCTGCCTGACCCCCACAACTCATCAGTGCTCATTTCTCCCGGTTGCTGAGTCAATCCTTTTGCTTTTTTCCCTCAATGCTGTCTCCTCTGGCTTTTTCACCCCTCTCATGTTATCTGCACCCAGCATTTGTAACGTCTCCCAGGCACCCGGGACCGCCGCTTTTGCTCCCATACCAGCGGCCACGTTGGAGGGATGCCTTACGGTGGATGTCCCGCCAGGACAGCTCGCTCGCTCTCCGCTCCTTTCCTCCACCTTCTCTCCCTTGTCAAAGCAGCACTACAGACTCACAATCCTGCAAATCCCTCTGGACAAAGCCTCTGCTCCCACTACCCTCCTCGTGGCTCACACGGTTTCACTGGGTTCTTCAGACAAACCAAAAACTTCAGCAACAGCAGCCAAGGACTCTCCCACCCACCACATCTGCTCCTCTGCTTTTTTTCTAGCAATTCGTGGGAAGATTTCCCGACTCCACGTGCACAGCGATTCCTACCGGCCTCTCTCCCTCCCACACTTGTTCTACCTCCCTGCCTGACTCCCCTGGTTCTTAACTCGTTCTTAGGTGATTTCTGCCTCAGTTTACTCACAGCTACAACTTGGTTCCACTCTGCTTGGATCCCGTGACTTCCCTCCATGACGATCAAACACCATCGACGTCCATGACTCCAAATTTTTCTCCTGCATCTAAGTGTTCTGTCCCCACGAATCCTGCCACGGCTCTTCCCACTCCCCCAGGAGTCTCTAACGAGAGTGTGACAATATACCGCCCGCCAGGATTCATTCTAGCCATCTGCTATCCATCGAGGTACTTTTACTGCACCTCTGGCTGTGCCATCTCAGCATCAGAGACAGCGTGATGGGGGGGTGCTGAGAACTTAAACAAAGGCAAGAGGTAATGATTAGAAAGACTCTTGATTCGTCACAAGCCATCAGAGGCTCCTCTGACAGGGCTGATTTATCTAGCCGATTTCAAATGGAATAGGAACGAGCACAGAGCAATGTGAAAATACTTGTGAAGGCCAAGCAAGCTATAAACATTTGCAAGGCGCATGCTTGCCTTAGGTTTCTTTTTATCTCTTTAAGAGCCTGTGCCCCATGGTGCCTTTTATTGTCGCTGCACATGGAAGCAAGCCCGAAAGATCACTCTCAGGCAGAGCATCCCACAGAAACGAATCCTGTTTCAATCCTCTGTTGTAACAGGAAACGGGGTGATTTTTCTCTTCTGTTTATTGTTACTTGCTGCATCAATCAGTGCTTCACTGAAGATTGCAAGGGGTCTTTTTTGTTGCTGTTTGCTTTTAGAGGCAAGGAACAGTTGTGCTGAATCTTGTAGATAGAAACAAATTTCTCTCTTCTGTGTCTCTGAACTACAGTATGGGGCAGAGTCTGTTCTTTGCTTTAAAAGGACTAGAACCACCTCATACCTGCTTAGAAACACAGGTGCCGGATAACCACATCTGCACTCTTGCAGTGAGCCTGCATAACTACTACATCTCAGATTTTTTCTCTTGATTTTTATCTTGTTCCAAAGGGAAGACGGCCGTGTCGGAGGTTAGAGACCCACCCCCCCCAGACAGACACACAACATAACTGCTTTGAGGGACTTCAAACCCAGGGATACTCACAGCTTGCTCAGGTTTTCTAGGCCTGTAAAAGCTCCGTTGGTATCTTCTATTGTGCCTGAGATGTCGTTGTGGTCCAGTTCCCTGGGGAGAGGACAAGAGAGAACTCATAATCAGTGTCTTAGTCCTAGGTTCATTGTTAAAAAGAAATGGAAGAAAGTTTGAGAATGCCACACAAAGAGCTTCACATTTTCTCCTGACAGTCACCAGAAAAAGAAGAGTCCGGCAGCAAATCAGCACTAAACACTTTTCCTGCACTGACCCAGGCTGAGATGGTGCATTCCAAAAAAAAGCCCTGGCTTTTTCCTAGCTGAAGCCCTCTGAGACAGCAGCAGTAGCAGGTAGCTACTTTTTAACAAGTAGGCTTCAGTCCTTTCCTAATTCCGTGCATCCAAACAAAAGGAGAAAAAAGAAAACAAAGCCCCAAAACTAAACTGAAAGAAACAGCTGTCCTTAAACGCTACTATGGCAAATTAAGGTGACTTTGGCTATTCCAACGTACACATGTATTTGTCTACATCTGTATCTTAGGAAGATGGTTTAGTGTATTTTCTATGAAGCTGCATTTTTTTCTGGCAATGAACTTGAAAGCTCAACGAAGGAAAGCACCATCATCCCCCCACACAAGCCTAACACTCTCTATAACCAGTTTTTTTTAAAGAAAAATGAGTAAGAATTCCTTTTTCAGAGTTAGCTTCTTTTGGCTTTCAAATTGACCATCAATTACAAGAGTCACAGAGGTCTGAAGAAAAACAAGCACACAGAACAAACAGAGATCCACAAAAGCTGTTTAAACAGCCTGTTTAAAAATCCTTCCCTCCTAGCTTTAATTCCAGCTAGCAATGAATACCCAGCAACACAGACAGAAATTTATCATTTCTAATGTTAAGTGAAAAGAAAGAAAAAATAAATACGCTTTGTTGGTTTTGTTACATCACTCTTATTCAAAACCTAGCAAAACCTAACAACAAAGCCAACTTAACCATGCAGATACCACCCCACCCCACCCCCTCCCCAAACCTTCAGGTATTGTTTTTGCACCTTTTGAAGATTATTATCAGAACGTTTCCAGTTTACAAATATTAAGACCAAAAAGAAAAAACAAAGCCCCCTGTATTTTGCAACATTCCAGACATGGGTATCACAGTGTATCTTCTGGGCTATGCAGAAAAAATACAGAAAACCCACAAGAAGAGAACAGAAATTTAAAAAATCCCACAGTTACAGTATTAGCATTGTTTTCCTCAGCTGAGATGGGGCTGAGACTTTTGCTCTCCGTACCTAAGCTGGCTGCAGACTTTGCTTTTTCTCGGCTTTGGTGTGTGAACTAAAGATGTGAAGGGAGATGGCCAAAAGCCACAAATCCTGTTTCTCAGCTGGCTTCAGCGTGAGACCTGAATCTCACGTCCCTGGGGAACCCCAGCCTTAGCCAGCATCATTGTGGATGTCAGGGTGATCTGTGGGTCAGCCCATGCCAAAGGGACGGACAAAAACTCAACATATCCCCACAGGGTGTGGGCGCACATAACGCTGTGGTGGCATAAGAGACAAGCCCAGGAGAGGTGCTTCAATGTGCTGACATTTTCAGTGCTATCTGAGTGAGGCAGGAGCAAATACATCCTCTCCTGCAGCTAAGTTTCTACATTTCCCCTATGGCTGCCAAGCCAATGCAAGTTGTTCTGTTTGTTTTTTAAGGGCAAATCCCTTCTCAGACATTTCTCCTCTTCAGTTCCACCACGGGCTACTGGTCTTTGGACCAGCAAACCCTTTCCCATGGCAGAGACCGACAAGTGGGAACAGCCTGTAGGAGCTCGCTGACACACACTTTTATTAATTGACTGCCACACATTGTGTTTTCTTGAAAAAGGAAAAGCAAATGGTATTGCTTGTTCATCCAGAGGCAACTCAAAAGGTTTAGTGTTAGAAAAGGAGGAATAAAAACCTTTTTAACAAATGAGTGAAAATAGAGAGAAAGGGGGGGGAAAAAAAAAAAGACTGGGGTATTTTGGCCCAGCTCTCTTTGTATTCAAACTCCTCTCCCAGCCCCTGTTGCCAATTTCCTATTCTTTCTGGCTGGCTGAGCTTGAATGCTCGCAGCCTTGTTAATCATTGTGCTCTGAGGTCTCTGGGCCTGACCTCTATTTGAATAGCTCCACATTTCAGCAGTTTCACACCCACCAAAGGCTCCCCAACAATAGGCCATAATTAAAGCATGCTCGGGTCTTTTTCACCAGGTGCAGGACCCAATAGGCCTTTCTCTTTATTAAATTAGAGCTCGCTCACACACTCCCTCTCTGCCTCCCCCCTCTGCCCTAGACATAAAAGAGGCTCCACATTCACTGCAGAGCAGAGAACTACCAGCTCCCCTTCCCCTCCATTTTTCTTTGGAACTCTTTCGTTCCGGTCTTGACAGCTGCCTCAGAGAGGTCCCTTTCTGAATGCCCAGTGGCTGAAAGGCTTTGGCTTAAGTTTAGAAAAAGGAAAAAAAGCAAACAAAACCCAAACTCACTTTCCAGTCACTTCCTTCACTATGAACTTCAAGAAAGGAAAGCGTAAGATGCAAAAAGTACTGTAAAGAGGGGAGATCTCTCTGTTCCCGTTTCCTTTTAATTACTCAGGCCACAATGGCCTTCTGAAGAGGAATGAAAGTATCAAAGTG